GGTGACACTGAGTGCTCTGGACTGGGGACAAGGTTGGGGATCAGGTGGGATTCAAAGATTTTTTTTAATTTTTTTTTTCCCAACCTCAGTAATTCTGGGATTCTGAGGATGTGTCTGCAGCCAAAAGGCTGAGACATGGAGTGGGGCTCCATGGGGACAGCACAGGGGGCTGGCAATAGCAGGAAAGGTGTAAAAGGGTTGGATTTGGGATGTTTTAGGAGTGCAGCCAACCAACAATGGCTCTTGGTCACATGAAAACCTGAAGTGACTGCCAGCCGTGCCTGATGAGCTCAGAATGACAAAGGGGGGAAAAAATGTTTCTTTTTGGGGGTTTCCACAAGAAACCACAAGAGACCAGCCAGAATCTGTTCTCTAACCAGCAGTGCCAGTGGTTTCAAGAGAATCCTTCCAAGGCTCCTCCCTTGTGGAGCATCCAGAGGAGATGGAAGGGAGCTCTCAGTCACTGCACGGCTTCTCCACTTCTGGCAGGGCTGGAAGCACCTCCCAGGCAGGATCAGACCCTGATCCCCTCTCTCTGCCCAGCACAGAAACCATTCCCGTGCCTGATCAGCCCTTCCATGCCTGCTGATATTGCCAGCATCCCTGCCAGCCCCAATTACTGCCCTGGCTACCCTGCAAGCATCAATCCCATTGCCTTGATTTCTTAGGAACAGCACCCATCTGCTCCCAGCAGCTCACATCTGCAATTGGGAGGGTTCAAAAAGCCTCAGTCCTGTTTGAAGGAAATTATTCCTCCAGCCAAGGGATTTATGCAGAACCGAGTTTAGCATTTGGAGTTACAAATTCACTACAAATCCCACAGTTACCCCAGGTTCTGTAGGGTTACAAATTCACAAATTTTCATTGCAGAGCATCTTAATACATGACAACCAATCAATATTTTACCATTACCTATAGTCTATCATAACTACTAACATCACCATTTTCATGTTATGATTTTCCAATCACAAAAGTCAGTTTGTTAAAGTTAGAAGTTCTTTCTCAGTTTTCTTGCAGGGGGAAATTCTGAGATCTTTTCTCTACTTGCATCATTGGCTTTCTTGTTTCCCTGTGAAAATCTTTTTGCTTGGTAGAAACATTTTTTGTTTGAGGTGGATTTATCCTTTGTTCTAAGCCATAAAAGCCTCTTCCAACTCACTTTGCTTTTTGCCTTTTAGTTTTCCAGTCAGACTGGCCCAGCAATTCTTTTCTTCTATATCAAACCTTGCTCTCATTTCTATTCCTTCTCCAGATTCTGCATTCAAAGATCTTTGTGTTACACAAACACATCTGTGAGACCTTCCTGCCCAATCCTCATCCTTCCCAGCACCCCTGGGTGACACTGTGCGGCCCCTGGGGTGGCACCAGGGATGGAAACAGGCAACCAGGAGAAGAGAAAGGCAGAGTGGGGCTTGGAAAAGCTGCTGCAGCCACGAGCTGGAAATTTGGAATCCTGCAGGACAAGGAGGGGCTTAGGGGCACTAAGGATGGGCTCAGGGGAGCAAGGACAGGAAAGGGAAGAGCTCTGCAAGGCCACAGTGCTCGGGCAAAGCCTCAAATGCTCCTGGCTGGAGCCTGTGGCATCACTGTGACCAGCAAGGTGGCTTTTGCCACTCCTCATTCCAGCATGGGGAATGCAGCTGCTCTGAGGTGTCCAAGGCAAAGGAATTTCCCCATGGAAAGGGTGATCAGGGAGTGGAGCTGCCCAGGGAGGTTTGGATCCCCATCCCTGGAGGTGTCACCTGGAGGTGGCACCGAGTGCCCTGGGCTGGGGACAAGGATGGGGCACAGCTTGGATTCTGATCCTGGAGCTCTTTCCCAACCCCAAGGATTCCGTGCAGACTCCAGGCTTCACTCCTGGGTCAGTTTGTGTTTGGAATGTCCTTCCTGCCTGCCTGGGGACGGGAGGACACTTTGGGGAGGACACCTTGGGGAGGACACCTTGGGGAGGACACTTTGCCCCGTGGCTCTGCTGTCAGCACTTACCAGTGCTCGTGTTTTCCTTGGCCCTGCTCCTGAAACAATTGTTTAGCCACAATGGAAGGTGACAAACGATTCAGCTGTGGCCCCACTGGGAATATCAGGAGAAAGTCCCCAGCCACTCACAGTGAACTGCAGCATCTCCTCAGCCCCACCAAGCTCCTCTCTCCCACTTGGATCCAGAAACTTCCACATCCCTGCCAAGGAACAGCCTCTGGCAGCCAAGGAGGGTGCACCAACCTTCACTCAATGTTTGAAAAAACAAACCCAGCTCAGCCTCTGACAGGAGCATGGAAAGTGCAGCCAGAGCCACTGGGAACATTGATATTAAATGAACAAATATCTGACCCAAACATGCATGTACTGGGATTGCTCAAGGCTGTGAGGATGGATAAACCTGGATGGATTTTCCCTGGATAACATAAAAGACAGATTCTTGACACAGACATCACCTGAGACTCAAATTTCCAATTCTTCCTCCAGCACATCAAAAAGATCATCAGAACTAGACCTAGGAAAAATATTTTCCCCTCTTGCTGTTTTCAGAAGCAGCTGAACCCTTTCAGTCCCGCACTTATTCTGTGGGGGGCTGTGTGGAATTTTTCTTTTTTTCTTTTTTTTTTTACATAACCAGCAGCATGAATAATTTCCAGCATGGAAAATTTCTGCCTAAAGAGCTAAAATCGGCATAGAATCATCCAAGAGTCACACGAGAAAGGCCTCCAGCAATGGCAACAGCCACTGCTACCAAGCCTACCTAGAGCATTTTTTCCCACTGTGCTCAGAGGATCTGTTCCACTCCTCGCCTCTCAATCCAATTTCCACTGTCCTGCAGCACAAATTTAAAATAAGGACACCAGGAAGCATGTGTGATAAGGGGGAAGGAAGGGGAAAACCACAGCTTCTTTCATTCTTTCAACAGAGCCAGAAAGGAGTGGTTGTAAAAATTTTTTAAATTTTTTTTTTTTTAAGAAAAAGCTGCAGGGAACAGCAAAGGGGGGAGATGTTTGCTTTAAACTTCCCCACCTCCACCGTGATATCTATCTGTATGTAAAAATAAAATATCTCTGCTTCTAAAGGTGTTTTGCAAAGTGCCTGGCTCCTGTGATGATGTTTCCCACCTTAGGAGTGTGCACAGCTCCAGCCAGGATGGAGAGAGGAGGAGCCAGGGATGGGGATCCTGGACCCAGCCAGGGATGGGGA